TCCACGCCATACAGCCTGGACTCGGATTCCTTGGGAATGGACTGCATCATCTCTGGAAGTGCCTCTCCGACTCTGGCAATCAACACTGTGACTAACAAGGTGGGTCACCTCCGCGTCCCCAGACCGGTCATAACGGATTTCAAGTTTTTCAGACGTCCATCTCTGTATTGTCTCCTCCTGAAACGTCAGTATTTAACTGCGTGTCGGGTCTGTGTGTGCTCTCCCCTGTGTTGCTAATGTTAAACCTTTCAGTACGTCCCGCCTTTCGCCTGTCACAGCCTTTCAGGTGTGTTGTCGAGCCTTTGCTCGGACTTCTAAGACCTTAACTTGTGTGTGGGCCTGGACGGCACTTTTGGACAAGCGGAGCTTTCGTTTTAAAAGTAACGGGACCTGGGTGTGGAGACGCTGGGCGCTGGGGGCTGGGGGGGCTTGATGGGACCTCTCTGTCCTGGGACAGGAAGGACACCAGGCTGGCCGAGCTGTTAACTGCTGAAGGGTTCAGTCTCTGCTGGCTGTGCTGGTAGCAGGGATCCTGGCGTTGGGGCTTGGGCTGTTAAAAATCTGCTGCAGCACCTTGGTCATCAGTGGATTTCTACTCCTGAGTTACTGGCCACATCCCATTGCTTGCTGGGATAGATAGAGATGAGAGGAGCATACATTAGTGTCTCTCTCCACTTCGGTTTGAGTATTCTTGTGTAGAGTGTATATCCAGTATATAAAGGTGCTTTATGGTAATCCTGCTCCACAAATTACAAATGCAGATTTCTTTAAACAATCCATGGGGTGCAGTGGTTATATACATGTTTTTAAGTGTTACCATTTGAAATTTAAAATATAGCCATAACCCTGTGAAGGAGTTAATAGTTTTATCAGAAAGGCAGTCTCTCATGAGAGTGCTCTACACAGCAGCCCCACACCTCCCAGACCACAAGACAAGTAGGTCTTGTCCAGCTGTGGATCTGGAAATGTACACGTCTGCACACCAGTTCAGGAGTAACATGAGCTCAGTCACTGTAATTCACTTCTTCAGGTTGTTTATTAGCGTAGATCACTGAGGTTTGGTGTAATTATGTGCATTATGGTGAATAACTAGCATATGTGCCCCCAACCTGCTGTTCTTAATTCAGTACATCACAGCATTGATAAAGGTGAGAGAAAAAAACTAAGCTGGTAAGCCAGCTCACTGAGGTGTACTTCTCAAAAGCCTGTGCACTTTTATACTGATGTAAATATTGTCAGAAAGCCAAGCCTGACTCATTTTCAGGGATCCCCACAGCCCAGTAAAACTGGTTTATTAGAGCTTGTTGTCGAAGGAGGAGCCTGTTTTCCAACAGCAGACAACAACAGCGCTGGCTTCACAGGTGTAACTCTCCGCCAGCCTGCAAACCGCTGCATATCGACCAAGTTTTACAAATGGACGACAACATTTAATTGTACTGTTATTTTAATTCAAACTCATGTCTCAGTAATGGCTCAGTTTTTTTTTAAAGAGCTGTTGTTAACAAAACAGGAGAAAAAAAAACGAGATCTTTGGTTCTCGTTTCCAGCTCCACTTTTCCAGCCTTGTCAGAATTAATCCTGAACAGCAGGCTCTCTACAGCCCAGACAAACAGATCGCTTTCAGTTCTGTTGAGAAAATAAACGAATAAAAAAATAAAAGGAACATACACAGTGCCGTCTTTGTTGAAACGACCCTGTTGGTTCTGTGGGGAACCACTCCGTGACTTTGGGTGACGATAATTCCGATGATAAACTCGGAAGCAGAATGAACGCGATGGCTCGGTGGAGCTGTGCTCGCACTGCTCTCCGAGTCCGTTTCTGTGCAAGTGAGTTGTAAACAAAGTGCTCGCCACGCCTTGTTCAGCACCGAGCGCCAAGCCACAGGAATTCCCCACACTTTTAGGGCTGGTGTAGTTTTACTTTCTCCTTTGTCACAGGAGGGCGATAGGTGGCAGTGAGGGGGGCACAAGTGCCCAGCGGCTGTGGTGATTGGACAGTCGAGTGGGCGTTGCCCTGCCTTTTGATAAGATAAGATCACATATACAGTTTCTTGCCTTAAAATTTGGCTTTTCGCATACCCCATCTTGCTCTCCATGAGACACACAGATAGGGAGAGAGAAGCTTGGGGTCAGAGCACAGGGTCATCCATTTATACGGCGCCCCTGGAGCAGTTGGGGTGAAGGGCCTTGCTCAGGGGCCCAACGGAGGAGGATTCCTCTGCCAGCCACAGGATACGAACCGGCAACCTTCTAGCCATAGGCGCAGATCCTGAACCACAGAGCCACCACACTGCCCTGGGCAATTAATACTGATTGATTTTCAGTATTATTTTATATCTAACAATCACTTACCGTTCACAGTTGTCTTTCCTGCTCTGTCCTGATAAGTATCGAAGAGCCTCTTGTTCCTAAATATCTGTTTTCAGTATAGACTGAGCTGTCAGTGCAGCAACTGTGGGGTAACAGGGCCTCTTTGACCTTGGCTACTCTTTGTAATTGGTCAGACCCAGAAGAAAACTGGGGTGAAGCCCTAAACTGACCCCTCTGACCACCCGACCTGGATTTTCCCCGTTTACAGCGCCTTAGCTTTTGGTGTGGAAAAAGATCCAGTGGGAATTCCGAAAGCTCATCTGGATATTGTTTTACAGAGCATTCCAGCATGAATTTCTGCTTTGTTTCAATAATCTGTGCCTTGTGCTCTTGATTAAATCACCAGGCTCTAGGAGCTACAGGGTTTTACCTTAATACACAGCTACAGCAATATTACCCTGCTTCAGTAAACTATGGTATAATGTCTGCAGTGCATCTCCAGTGATCTGTGTATGATAGCTTGTGTCCGTGTTGGCAGGAGGGATTGGAGTCAGAACTAACCAACATTCTTTTTTTATGGTGAGGTTTTTAAATTGCCCGTCTCCTGGTTTACGGTTTAAAAATAGTTTGTGGCAAGAGACTTAGAGCTAAAAAGCTGCTTTATGGCTTAATTACACACATCATTTATATTTCTTCACCCTCCCCCCCATTAGTCTGAATTTAATCATTAGTTTCTACACAATTGAACTTTCGTCTTGAGTTGTTGAATCGGTTACTTTGCTTTGTTCAGCACAGAAAACAACATGCTTCGGAGTTTGGGAATTCACAGGACGCAGATAGGAAGTTTCTGTGGCGTTCCCATGGTGGTGACTCATTGGAGGTTCAACTTCTCCTTTGGAAAATAGTGCACTCATGCCATGAAAATCGCAACAGGATTCGCATGTTCCCAAGATGTTGGCAGGCTGTTAAAACTGATATTTCAGTACGAAAACTTCTTGAAGACTTGCTGTCGTGCTGCAATAATTCCACACAGCTTCGCTGATGTTGTTATTGGTTGAACTGTCTTTGACAGTTTGTAGGAAGTACTCCAGAGGTCGGAGATAATGAGCAGTGCAGTGCGACATGCCGATATAGGTATTCACCCTGGCAAGTTACATTTTTCAAAGATTTCTTTGCGAACGCCTGCAGATGTTTTGCCATCTTTTTGGGCTCTGTCAGCCATGTTTCTCCAGAGGAAGCACAGAGCAGGGGGGCTTTCAGCCAGCTGATACCTGAGGCACAGAGTGCAGTCTGTCAACAGAGCTGCCCTGCTTAGTCAGAGCCACACGCGGCTCTGTAGAGATTCCTGCGCTGTGCTAGGAATCCAGAAGAGCCAGGGAATCAGTTTAAATTACTGCAGAAATGCAGAGCTAAGGGAAGTATATTGCAAGCATAGAACTGTAAAGAATTTGGATCGTTTTTGTTCTGTCGCCTTACTGAAAATTTGAGGACATCTCTCCATTGAAGAAGGATTGCCACTGTCACTGTCCTTGAGTCTTCAGACTTCTGAGTAAAGAACATATCATATCAAGCTCTAAATCAGACTAGTGTTTCTGACTAGAGTTTCATACTAGATCTTTTAAATGTGCATTAAAAAAAAAGCCGATGTCAGAGATGGCTTTTGTTTTTCCTAAAGCCACATTCCATTTTTCTCCTCAGGCCTTTCTGCCGAAAAACAAACTGATTCTTTTTTTTTTTAAATTGTGGAAAGGGGTTGAAGAATAAGAGGAATTTCAAGTTAAATCTGAGCGTCTGAACTTCTCCTTTTTGTTAGAAAGGTCAGGGATCACGTAGCATTAAGCTCTGTGCTTACAGTCCAGTGCAGTTTTAGACTTCCTGCATTGATGTATTTGGCATGATCAGCAGTTTGACCTTTAGCACAAGGCTGTTTTCCCTAAACCGGTCCAGTCAGTCCAGGCCACCGCCTGGCTGAGTGCCACATCCACTCAAGGTGATAGTCCAGTGACGCAGGGTGGATGTAGCGGGGCAGCCCTTCAGGGTGGGTATGACTCTGGGCACTCATGAAGTGAAGGTGCTATTTTTCCGCTGTGTGGGCACAGTTGGACTCTCAAGACGAGGCACAGCTCTCGTTCATTCCGGCCCTTTGGGGTCACTCAAGTATTTATTTTCCCTGTGGCTTTTCATGTTCACAGTGTCTTAAAAAAATGCTCAGCTATTTAAAGTGGAATTGAAGCTTCTCAGTTGTGTGTGTAAGAATTCATGGTTGATGGGTATTTCTTTTCACCACCTGCCAGACAAACCCATGACATCTGACCTGCTAAACAACAGGACAATCTGAGGAGAATGTGTTGGAATTCTTGTCACATCCGTAGAAGATTCATATTCTTCCTCCCATACAGCTCTCCGTTATCACTGGTTAATTCCTTTTTCCAATAAAGAGCATTTTAAAGATAAAAATAAAGCTGCTTCAACCTGGGTGTTGTTGGTGGCCTTTAAAATAAACAAAGCTTGTGACATTAACGAGTGTTTCCTTTCATTGACCGTCAACATTTACCCGAAAGATTTTATCTCGGTTTGATGAGTGAGTGTTGCTAAACATCCACTGTGACTTAAATGTTGGATCAGCTCTGCGCCTCCGGGTTTGATCGCTGCCGAATGCTGTGTGAAAGTTGAATCTTGGCCCGGCGTGCCTTGGGTTCGAGAGTGCTGATGTTGCTGGTTGTTGTTTTAGGTAGCATTGTACAACACAGACCAGGATGGGAGTGACAGTCCCCGAAGCAGCCTTAACAACAGCCTCTCTGACCAGAGCCTGGCGTCGGTCAACTTGAACAGCGTGGGCAGCGTGCACAGCTACACCCCGGTGAGAGAAACTACTGTACCTCCTCCAGCCCTGCCCTTTCACCCAGAGGATCCACGCTAACAGCCAGGAGGAGGAGGGGAGAGGGAGCACAGAGCAGCCAACGTTAAGGACAGTTCGATCAAGTCAGACAGTTTTTGCAGAGTTACGATCCAATAACAACATTGATTGAAGCAAAAGAGGCATCATGTGGTGCAGATAGATATATTGTGAGCGTCCTGAAGTGTTGCCAAGGCCAGACCTCCAACTGTAAGTTAAAAGTGGGATCAAGTTGACGTTTTGTTAAGATGTCCCCTGTTTTGGATGACCAGTTCTTAATCGGGGGCAGCTCCCGTGCCAGCGCAGGAGAGGTGAAGACGGTGTGTGACACGTTCGTCCACGGGGATCGCTGCCGTGGCGGAAACCAACTGTGTGCGTGGGCACGTCACGCAGCTCGAATCTGAACCAGCAGTAAATAAAGGGCCCAGCCTGTACAACAGCACTGAGGCCTTTCACTAGCACTAGCCCTGGTTGCACTTATCTGCTTACCAACTCGCTCCTCTATTTCGGTGTCCCCAGATGTGGTCTTTAGAATTGTCCAACTCCTCGCAAATGTAGGGTTGAGATGAATTATTTTTCCATTCAGGTGTCCTCAATGTGTATAATCATTGCAGTATCACAAGTTTAGGCAATTAAATTTTAGTAAAGGAGAGTCAAAGTTCAATCATTAGCCTCAAGTCAAGCAATGTATCTCCCCTGGAAATCAGTAGATTGGAGCTTCTTGGAGTTGATAGAATGCCAAATTCACAGTGACAGCTGGATTTTTTCAGTTTTTCTTTTTTTAAAAGTGGCGCATTTTATAATGTGGAGAAGAGGTTAATTAAGCAAAAGCATAGGAAGTAATACAATGGAGCCTGCCACTGTAAACACACATTTAAGGTGCTATCAGTTTCATTTGATCAAGATATTATAGAACCGCTCTTGGAGTGATCATAGGGGTCATCGTGCGCCTGCGATGAAGCCCCTCAAGAAATGCCTTCCCACTTTTCTTCATTTTCTTTTGAGCTATAGCAGCGAGCAGACAAGCGTGGGTCATACTGTGCTCCAGGCTGACTTCGAGCTTTTCCATTGATTGAAGGCAAGCAGAGATGGGTTTACTTTAACAGCCTCAACGTTTTTTTCAGGGTTTTACACGGAATCAGATATGTCTATGGATTATACAGTTAAACCAGATTATCTCAAAAATGTAATAGCCCAGTAGTTCCCAGGCATTCTTAAAGTTGTCACGCCGTGAGCAGCAGTAATTTCCTGTGGGGTCACAGCTACCATGGGGCTCAGTGAGTAAACAGGTGTGAGCTGCTGAACTCTTATTCTGAAACTATTGCATATATTTTATTTCTTATTGAGCTGCTTTAATTAGAAATGGCAGCACGGAATGGGAATCTCTGTAGAGATGTGTTCAGTTGGGGATCAACATGTCTGAAATTGGTGGTTATGATGAAAAAAAACGTCAAGTAAACTTTGAACCTCCGTTCTTTGTAACAAGTATCATCAAAGAAAATTGTCAATAATTGGCAGTCTTTCAATGCAAAGAATGTTTCGGGGCCTCTGCTGAATTCCTAAGGATCAAATCTATTTTTTATCCCTGCTAATTACTTCTTTTGAGAAAAAAACGGCATCTTGGAAATTGTGGTTTTCCATCTTGGTGAGGGTTGACTGTCATTTGGACTATGTGTTGCTGGTCCAGTCGTGACCCCAGTTTGGTGGGGTTACTAGGAATTTAGCATCCTCTGCTGCAAACTTCAGAAACCGATAATCGGATACTTGTCTCATCCAGACTGGGCTGTTGAGGCTTGTCTTCCCTCTCCAGTGTCACTCTGCAATGCAGAGGAGCCATTAGGCAGGCTAGCCGCCTGAGGGCACAGGATTCCTCCGACTTCAAATAGGCCGTGTCCCTGAACCGCAGTGCAGTGTCTACTGTGGAAGAGTGACCGTGGAAACCCGGAAGAGGCTCAGAGCTCTCTTCGTAAATTACTGCAGCTTCTCTGGAACGCAGTAGTGATGTGGATTAGGATTAGGATTTAGACCGTACCATCAAGTGATTAGCATTGCAGGGTGGCCATAATGGGCCTCTGAACACATCGCGTGTGTTGGGCCCGGGATTGGGACTGTGGTTGCGGAGGTCAGAATGGATTCGTGCTTCAGCTCCAGAAGAAGGTGCAGTGCTGCCTGTCATTCCAGCATGCAAGTCTGTGTGCCCTGAGGAAAGAACCGCAGCAGCCTGAAAGTAGCATTCCCACAGTTTCAGTTTATGTTTGGGATTCCTATCAAAAATGGAGAAAGACAACTGTGGAGCAAGATGGAATTTTGGCCTTGAAGCTGGAACAGCGCAACCTTTGGGTTGGTTTATTTTTGTGTGTGATTGAGACTCATTATTTGTGTTCTGTGATGTGTGCTGGCCGTCTTTGCTTTTTCTTATGAGACTGAAGTAACAAAACAGCACCATTAGCAGACAAATACCAGCAAGTAGTATTACTTTGCTGAAGTCGACAGCGGAGCAGAGCTCCATTTCTATGTTGTTCTCAATGTAGGTTTTCACTTTGAGTCTTACAAACTTTAATTAAATCAAGTCATTTAAGATCAGAGTTAGTTCTGCCTCATTAGCTTGTACAGGTGATGGCTGAGAAGCTTGCTGTTGAAGCTGAGCATTCGTGGCATTTTCTCTGGGAGATGAAAGACATCACCAGTCTCTCTGCTCACAGATGACAGTGGCTCAGAGTGGCAGACGCTGACACATTTCCGTTCTAATAAATGTGAGAAAGACAATGCAGGGAATTCGTGATTGTGACCAGTCCTTCGTTTGCTCGCGTTACAAATAATGATAACGAGACAGGCCAGCTCTACGGCTTCATGTCTTTAGCGGTTTAGTATCACTCCTAACAGCTTTGGAATTTCTGTAAATTTGACATTTTTGAGTGCAATTCAAGAAAAAGACTGTTAGTATCAATTCCCTTTGTGGCAGCTCCTAGTGCTCTCACCCACACTGTGATGGGATTGGAAACAGTTCCTTTTAAGCACCTGCTGTTTTTCACACTTCTAAATGAGCATACCACACCCAGCTCTCTGCCTCCTGTCAGACATCCTGCTGTATAGGCGCTCGAGTCTGCACGTTGCAAGTACAAAACCTAGAGCACTACCAGGGAACCAGCTGACAGCAGAACAGGCCATCCTGGGGAGATTTTTAGGCTACCCTACCAATGTGCTCTTAGATGTGCTGCTACACAGTACTTATTTACATTGTGCATTGCTTATTAATGTGGAATCTTTAATGTTGTATGGCACACCTAATTAGGATGTTGACTCACCAGTTTATAAAAGGCTTGGCTTGGTGTTACAACCCCCCTCCCAACCCAGAAAAGGATAAAGACAGTTTTGCTCTGTTTGGTGCTATGTGGCTTCCTCACACTGAGCCCACAGCACCAGCAGCAGGGCACAGGCCCCAGAGGGAGGGCTGATGCAGTTCTTTCCCACAGCAAGAGTCCAGCCAGCCACAGGCAAGCTGAAGGAACCCACTTCTTCCTGCAGACCAGCTCAGCAGCCTCCTTCCTAACATTGGTTCATTTTTGGAATGAACCTTATATCAAGATGTTGTCAAAGAACCTTTTTCTTTTTTCGTTTCTCCTTGCATTACAACATGAATCGCATAAAACATGCTGGCGTTCCTTACCTGCAGTTTTATGTATGTTAATTATATCTTAATTTTTAATTAATGGTTATTTGTATGGTGCGTTTTGGCCAAAAAGATCTCAGAGCACTTTACCTAGAGGCAGGTGCCCAGTTGAACCACCTGGGTGATGTGTACTAGGGCCATTCTGCACCAGTAGTCCAAGTACAGTACACAGCAGATCAGCTGGACGAGAAGCCAGATTGCTCAAGGCCAACGTGGACTCTGTTGAGGAAAGTGGGTTTAACACTCCATCTTCTGGGAGCTGTGTGATGGGCTCTGTATTAACCAGGTGGTCAGGGCCTTGGTGTCACATCTCATCCCGAGGATATCACAGTGTGCACCATGTTCACAGTCGCCATACTGGGCCCTTGGCTTGGAAATTGCTATGAAAAAGTGTGGCCTGTGTCAGTCAAGACTGGATTCTTTTGGTTTTTATAGCTTTATATTTTATAGTTTTTATAAGTGTTGCCTTTACCAAAATATCCCAAACCTTTCCTGTTGAGCGTTCCTGCAGTCTCGGCTGTGCTGGCATGGCACACTGGTGCAGCTCCAGGGCGTGGGAGCTCTGCGGTGCCTTGGACAAGGCCAGGGGTCCTGGCGGGGGATGTTGCGACAGCCGGGGGGTTGGGCGACTCTGCTCGTTTCACAGGCTCTCTCTCCCTTCTCTCCCCCAGGTTACCAGCCATCCCGAACCTGTGTCCCAGTCCATGAGTCTCCAGCAGCAGCCCCCCCAGCCCCAGTACAGCATGTCAGAGCGGGAAAAGCAGATCCTCTTCCCCGACTACAACTTTGAAGATCTCAGTGCCTCCTTCCGCAGCCTTTACAAGGTCGTCTTTGAGCAGCCGTTGAGCCAGCAGGGTGAGTGGCACGACTGGGGGAGCAGTTCCTAGAACAAGCCAGTGGAGGGCACAGACTTTATTGCTCGGCACTGCTACACATGAACGAGACTGTTCTGAGCGAAGGGCGGTGGTGCTGGTGGTTGAGGAGACTTGATAGCGGCAGATGAAGTCTGAGCGTCTTCAAACATGGAACGCCTCTGCTTTCGCTCAAAGCTCAGCATAGGTCACTGGGCACTTCTGTTGAGAGGGTCATGCTGAGTTGGATCTCTTATCTTGGATTAGCTGACAAGCCAACTGTGCAGTCACTGAAAAAAATGAAATACCTGTCGAATTCTCCAAGCTGAAACAAAACACTCGAAAGAGTCTTGAGGACCAGTCAGCATGGACTACACACCCTTCACAATAAGACCAGTGATGGTAACTTTCAACACACTGCAGAATTTACAGCAAGAAAGGTGCTAGAAGATACAGGATAAAATTGGCGACATGTACTGCAGTGCTTTGTCTGTAATTCCAAACCTTTTCGATTATTCACTTTCTTTTACAGCGTGGTTAACAAAATCAGGAGGAAGTCCTAACCAGGAAATATAACAAATGTCAATCGTACAGCTCTCCCTTCTGCTGTTCTGGAAGGAGAAATACGGTCCTCTTGTTCAGCTTTCTCTAGATTTGGCTAGCCTCAGTTTTCTACACGTATGTAGGAAGAACATTTCACAATAAGAGGACTCCCTAGGATTTATTGAGATAATTTTCCTACCAGACATCACCTTAACTTGGATTCAGAAATGACGAGCGAATACTGATTTTAGTCCAGCTTATTGTATGTTTCCCTGTAGCAGAAAAGTGTACCTTATCTAGTCACTCCCTCAGTGGCTGGAACAGCTTCTGAGATCTGAATTATATGATGAGTCATTTTTTAAACTCGGGGCAAAAACATGCCTTTGTGCCTGTGGTGAGTGATAAGACAGGCCTTCGTCCCTATTCTTGATGATGGTGTAATTACAGACCCAGTCCAACAGCCACCAGTATCCGCTTCTGAGTGCATGCTTTAGTTGCTATTGAAAAAGAACCGTTTCTGATTAAGAAATCAGAAAACAGCTAGTATACGCTTTAATATAACACTAAAGTTAACACTATCAGATATTAATTAATAGTCTGGGTACACTGATAAAGTGGGAAGTGTTGAATTTAGTGGATACTTGTGCTCTGCAACCTACTTTCAAAATCAAATACATTTTAGTAGCCAATAATAGACTATGGACTTACTCCTCTTTTTTAATTGCTTGAATCATTGCTATTTCACTCATTTTATGTTGTTACCTTTTTATGTGTATAAAAGTGAAATCTCTTAGTCAGATGAGCCTTTTGCAATTAAAATTCATGAATTTCCAAGTGGATTTCACACGGCTGCACTGTAGACAATGAGCTAATTTACCAGCTTTGATAATAGCTAATGAGCTGAGGTTATTGTTGTAGGTTATTCTCTAATTGCTTTCTCAATTTTCCTGTTTGGACAATAGGCTTTTTTTTTTACCTGATAAGAGATCCCCTCCATCACCTCTGAAATGAATGTTCTGGATTGAATTGTGGAGGCTTTGTCTGAAGTCATTTCTAAAAGCCCTTCAGTCAGATGGGTTTACTGTGACAGAGCTAAGAGAGACGGCCCCCTTTTACAATATTTGCTTACACACGCAAACTCTTGTCTGTTGTCCTGTTACAAAATGTCACATAAAGCTGTGCATCCTTGCAGAGAAGATGCATAATTTCCCACGTCAAAATGTATCACAAAAATAAAATTAATAAGTATGTATTTAAACCAGAGCTTTACACATCTGCATTTGCGGCATTATTTACGAACACGAACTTGTCATTGTAAAGATTTGTCCTAAAATAATAGAAATGCTACTGCATTTATTAGTTTATCCCAGCGATTAACCTGATTAACGCTGACATTTTTCACTTAGAACACCTTTAATGACACGCTATTGTTAATTCTTATTGAATTAAAATTTCTAAATGCTCTGTCTTAGAATGGCTAGTTAGTGTAGTCCTGTTAGTGTATACCTTGGTTAATTAAGTTCTGGGTCAATGATTAAGAGTCATCATTGTTTGACCAGAACAAAGGATAAAAAAGAGAGAGGAAGGATGGCAGTAAAGGCACAAAAGAAGAGAAGAGAGTGGTACCAGGCAGGAGATCTTGTTCTGATCAGCGTTAAACACTCTTTTCCAGTTCAGTATTTGAACCTTGTTAAGACATCTTCCCAGTTTTGCCAGCAGCTATATCACCCTGCAACTCGTGTTTCCTGTTAGTGCATTTAATGACAATTGATTGGTCCCAGATTTCTGATTTTAACGTGACGTCTGGGCCATGAGTGACCGGTTCGGTGTGTCTCTCGCAGGTCTGATGAGCATGTCCTCGGAGTCGACGCAGCAGACCCACACCTCTTGTTCCTACCAGCACTCCCCCAGCAGTACCGTCAGCACCCACCCCCACAGTGGCCCGAACACCATCACCAACAGTGCGGGGCAGGTGCCCCTTTCTCACCCCGCGCAGATCCAGAACACCCACTCTGCCCACAGCTCACCACACGGGCAGCACCTCTCCCAGCACCCCCAGCACAGCCAGCATCCCTCTCAGCACCCAGCGCACGGGCAGCACGGACAGCACCCTCAGCAGCACGGACAGCACCCCTCCCAGCACCCTCAGCACCCGTCCCAGCATGCACAGCAGCATGGGCAGCACCCGTCCCAGCATGCACCGCAGCACGGGCAGCACCCGTCCCAGCATCCACAGCAGCACACCCCGCACCCCTCCCAGCATGCACAGCAGCATGGGCAGCACCCTTCCCAGCAGCAGCAACAACAACAACAGCAACAGCAGCAACAGCAGCAGCAGCATCAAAACCACCAGCACCAGTCCCTCTCACATGCCCAGCAACAGATGGCCTGCAGTACTGGTAAGAACAAAGCACAGAGCACCATGCTCTCTGCTGCTATATTACATCTTAATATGTCTTGCTTGTCCTTTGATGAGCTGGAGTCAGAACCAGATTGTAGTCCCATTCTGCATCCTGTGCTTCTGTGATAGGCTCTGTGTTGTCCTCACCTTTAGCAGGAATAAGCAGTGTGGTAAACATTGGGTGGATTTTCATGGTCCTCTTAAGTTTTATTGTCTGTAGTTAAGAACAATTTGTTCAGTTTTACTATTTCAAAACATACGTTTTTACAGCTGTATGAACGTGACTGAAATTAGTTGACTTTGCTTTCTCTACAAGAAGTGTCAGTTTACTCTGGCAGATACAGTGTAACAGGGAATCAAGTTAAAGACTGACTCCTACTGGCCAGGTGGCTTTTTTTTTTTCATTTTTGAGACGCGAATGCATGAAACTTCGCCGTAGCCTGCATCCTGTTGTATGAATACCCAGCCCAGGCATCCCTGTCCCTGCAGCTCTTTCCACAGACTGGTATCCCAATCTTGATGCACTGAAGGAGAGCTGTCGGATTGCCAGCAGTTACAACTGGGCAGATGTGGATCTCTCGCCCTTTCAAGGTAAGACTGGCGATGTCAAGTTCTCTGAACTCACCATACCCAAAGGGGCAGTGTCCCCGATCTCAATCAACAAAAGTTCTCAACTCGCCTGCTTAAAAATACATTAAGGTAGTCCAGGATTAATAATGATTTGGTTCTTTGAATCCGCTTCTTAAGTGTAATACAATGTGGCAACCAGTTCCTACAGTAAATAGTTGTTGTTTATGGTTTAATGGTAGAATCGAAAATTAATGGCTGTGTACAATATGTATTCAGTCTCTGATCGTATTGTTACAGTTATTGGAAGTGGCTGTTGAGGTGTCTCATGAATCTGGGGACAGTGGTCAAACATTTGTAGTTATTGGGATCATCAAAGCGAGAAATGTCTGAGACAGACTGATCAAAGGAGTTTTCTGGTTTACCTTGGTTAATTAAGTTCTGGATCAATGATTAAGGGTCATCATTGTTTGACCGGAACAAAGGATAAAAAAGAGAGAGGAAGGATGGCAGTAAGGGCACAAAAGAAGAAAAGAAACCGGTACCAGGCAGGAGATCTTGTTCTGATCAGTGTTAAACACTCTTTTCCAGTTCAGTATTTGAACCTTGTTAAGACAGCTTGCCATTTTTGCCACGAGCTATATCACCCTGCAACTCACAGCTAAGCTCAGCAGGTGTGAGCCTGGTCAGTACCTGGATGGGAGACCTCCTGGGAAAAACTAAGGTTGCTGCTGGAAGAGGTGTTAGTGGGGCCAGTAGGGGGCGCTCACCCTGCACCCCTGGTCCTAGTGGCCCAGTATAGTGATGGGGGACAATGTTCTTTAAAAAAGGACGCTGTTCTTTAGATGAGATGTAACTGAGGTCCTGACTCTCTGTTTTTAATTAAAAATCCCAGGGCATTTCTTGAAAAGAGCAGAGGTGTTACCCCTGTGTCCTGGGCAAATTTCCCCCTTTACCAGTCAAGGCCTCCTAATGATCCCCGTCTGTGAACTGGTTTCATCACTCTGCTCTCCTTCTGAGAACTGATCCACACTTTGACTGCTGTAGCATCATCCAGGTGGGGGAGAGAATTCCTAGTTTAGAAATGGTGTCTCCTAGTTAGTGGATGTATTTTTAGAGTAAGGAGATAGGCTTACATTATTTTTTTAGCTTCTGGGTTTATAAAGAGAGATTTAACTCTAGGTTGTATTCTATGTGGTGCAGAAGGCAGGTTTTCTCTGTTTTATAACAGTAGTGGTGACTATACCTGACTATTTTTACCTATCCGCAGTTACGTTTCTGCTTCAGAGGTGTCAAGACAGCCTTTCTCAGCTATAAAATAAATGCCTGGATAATTGAGTGATTAAATCAGTTTCATTCAGCACTTTTAAAATTGGCAAAGCAGGTTGGTGCTGTTGTTAAAAATTCATTGGCCAACTGATTCATTCGCTGCCCGGGTTGTAACCTGTTGTGTGAGTTTTATCGCCTCATAATTCCCCAGCCCTAATGCTGGATTTGGATTTCTGCGTTTCCGAAATTGCTACTGTCAGGCCTCATGAGATACTTCAGGGAGGGCAGACATACCCTCAGACTAACATGCCACATTCCAGCACTAACTTACTGTACACTAATTGTCTCGCAGTGAGTCACAGTATTTGTTCAGGCTTGCCATCAGCACGTATTAATTAGAGGGTGACTCATTCTTTAAAAGTAATAATATTAAAACATATCACTATATTTTAAGCTGTTTATTTTTTTTCTAAACAGTCAATGGTAAATAATAGGTGATGACTGACACTGAGTGCCTTTGGAGGCTTAGCTGCTAAGACATATTAAGATAGCACGGTAGAGGGCTCCGTAATGTGATTAGCAGACCTGAGGAAGAAGGCACTTGTGCTGTTGTTGATATTTAAGCACTTAGACCCAGCTTGAAGAGAATATTTCTGGGTGGGGCAAAGTAATGCCGATTGAGGGTTTAATTTGAAATGCCTTTTCAATTAAAGAACGACTCTTTGATGCCTAATTATTCAATGCAGTTGTCCTCGGTTGGTCTCGCCAATTTTCAAATTACTTAATTAAATTGCAAGGTAGGAGGATTTAATTAAACATTTACTCCTACAATAGTCATCGGTATTATTTGGCCCAGTAAAAAGTCATAATTCCAAGCACAGTATATTTTCAACGCTGTTAAAGGAGTAGATTGTCAACAGAGGGTTTCTCACCTTTTGAGCGCTTTGTCTCTGTTAAGTTCTTCCTTTTTTTCACTTTCGAGTTGTCATGGTAAGAAAAAACTCAGAAGGAAAAACAGGGAAAAGGTTTCTCAGGGAAGTTGAAAGAGACACATTAATGCAGGACCCGCACTGCATACAGTAACCTGCAGAAAGCAAATCAGCTTCCTCGTGTCGAGAGCTGTGTTCTTGCAGGAGGAGGTAGTACAGAAAGGCTCCTGCAGCGCATGTCTAAAACTTGGAAAGATTCCCAATCCCAGAGCTAAAGAGTCGCACACCCCCAGAATTGGGAACCCCTGTAATATTGAACACTTCAGGCTTGACATGACCTAAGTAAAAAAATACAGCTCACCTATGGGTTTTTCTCTCATCTGGCATTTTGAGAACCACCTACAAAGACTGAAAGAATGATTTTTCCTGTCATGGGGCAGTTATATATTCTGGGGAAGGAGGGTAGGGAGTTATAGGGATGTCTTTTTTCACAACAGTGTTAATAAAACAGTAATTGTGCCCAACAGAATGCTTTGTAGTGCAGTACAGCGTGCAACAATTTAGGAAAATACAGTCAAGCAAGAGGTGTATTGATTTCTCTTCATCTGTCGTTAGTGCTTTGCAGTATGCTCAGAAAAGTGTTAAAAAATGTGATTTTTTATTGGGGCCGCAGATGGGATTAGTGGTTATCTGGACTCTGGACCAGAGGCCTGTGAGCTCAGATCCCAGGTGTGATGCTACAGCTGCTCAGAATTACTCTAGTACATTCCCTGTTGTGTAAATTGGTTCACTCCATGAGTGAACTCCATGTTATTCTCAGGTGACATATCTGGTCAGAAGAGGATAAGAGCATCAAGTTTCAGGCGAGAGGAGTTGAATGGCTGCATCTTGCTTAGGAGGCCATAAGGCCCATGTTGCTTGTTTGGTAGTTTAGTAGTTAAGTGAATCTAAACTTTCATCCAGCTGTTTCTTGAAGGACTCAAGTGTTTGGGCCTCAACCACCTCGCTGAGAAGCATTTTCCAGATGCCCACAGCTCCTTCCCAAACATTTCCGTAATCTGTATCCTAAGTAAATCCCCTTTTAGTTTTCCCACTGTGACCCCGTGTCCTTGTTTCACTGCTCAGGGTGAAATAGTCCCCTTGGTGGACCGCGTCTACACCCTTCAAGATCTTATATCTTTGGATCATCTCAATCTCACTCCAGCCCCTATGAGATACTAGAAGTTTTTCTCTCTTTCCTCTCTTCCTCCCTAACAGGGTTAAAAGAGAGCATGAGGCAGGCAGATCTCAATAACTGGTCTCTGGACCCTGCGCAGATTGCTGACCTTTGCTCTTCAATCAACCAGTTCTTCACCCGGACTGGGGTTATCCCACCCCAGGGGGCGGTGCAGCCACCAGTGTGTCATGGCACCATGCACTCCAACAAGCCCAGCCAGCACATCACCACAGGTAAGTCCAGGGACCAGTCACCCAGTCTCCCACCCCTCCGCTGACGGACTCTCCCCCAGTCCCTCCCCTCTGCTGACGGACTCTCCCCCAGTCTCTCCCCCAGTCCCTCCCCTCTGCTGACGGACTCTCCCCCAGTCTCTCACCCAGTCTCTCCCCTCTGCTGACGGACTCTCCCCCAGTCTCTCCCCCAGTCCCTCCCCTCCGCTGGTGGACTCTCCCCTCCGCTGGTGGACTCTCCCCTCCGCTGGTGGACTCTCCCCCAGTCTCCCCCCTCTGCTGACGGACTCTCCCCTCTGCTGACGGACTCTCCCCCAGTCTCTCCCATCCACTGACAGACTGTTCCCCAGTTGCCCAGTCTCCCACCCGTCTGCGTACTGACTACACAACCTCACAGACCTTTTCCTTATTTGTTCCTTTCAGGAAACCTGTACATGGACTCCAGACAAAACATGCCGGCGTCGATGATGGGGCCCCCAGGGTACCCCCACATGCCCCCCATGAGCAGCGCAGGCCCCACTATGACAGGTACGATTAGTCCAGCGTGTGTGATGACTTGTTTGCTATGGCCTACAGGGGATATAACAACACTGGGAAGTCTGAGCAGCAGAGCTTTGTGACCCTTCAGCAGGACAGCCGTGTGAAGCAGCAGGCTGGCGATGTGAGCAGCCAGCCTCTCTCAGTCAGCTTGTGTGCTTACAGATGGTTCTTGATTGGATGGAGTCTGGGTTTTGATTTCATTCAGAGGTGCTTTAGATGTCTGAAGTCTTTGCTGTCTCATTTCTGGGGTGTGTTTTAAGTGTTTCTACTGAGTGCACACTGGGATCAGGCAGAAGCCTCAGGCCAGCCCAGACAGAAAATGCAAATGTGTTACAGTGCGCTTCATAAAACGTACAAGTCGAAAGAGGTACGTCGTCTGAGCTCGCGCTTTTAAAATAAAACCCTTCATGACGAATGGGTATCAGTCAGAACAGACGGACAAAATGGAAGACAAAAAATCACTGACAGAAAGAGGGCCACGAAGGCATCAAGCCATTGTGATTTCAGCTCATCTCCCGTTATGGAATATTTTTATTGTTTTGAGTCTGGGATAGGCCCTGGCTGCCCTGTACCAGATAAAGAAGTTAGGAAATGGATGGAGTTTTCATCTGAACAGCAATGTACAGATGAAAACCTTCAGTTTTTGCTCATTGTAATACGGAGTTTAGGATTATCTGTGGCAATAGCCCATTCATTCTTAGCCATTTAAGCTCAACATGTGCTCAATACGTTGCCAAGCTGTGTGTTTTTGTGTTGCTCGGAGCTCTGAGCGCTTGTCTCTTCCCACAGGACATCACGCCCCCATGAACCAGCAGCACATGATCCCCACCGGGAACTTCCAGATGCGTCGGCTGCCTCCTGACGACATCCAGGACGATTTTGACTGGGACTCCATCGTGTAGGCCTTCCCCCTCCCCAGCGCCGACGGCAGGAGCAGGGAGGGGGAGGAGGAGGAGAGGCAGCTTGCCAGGCCGGGCTGTCCGAGCGCCGGAGATGGAGACAATCTCGACGGGAACCTTCGGAAGTACAGGTGTCACTGCGCCAAGAAAACTTCGGAGTCCTGATCATTTTAAAGGAAAAAAAAAAGTTACTTTGAAGACAATCATATTTAGTAGGACAAGTTTAAATTATCGCTTTTTTCATACTTGTCATGGGACAAGTCAGTAGGTTTTTATTTTGTCAAGACACACACCCCCCTCATCTCCACCCAGCCCGCTCTGGACTCCCTTTCGCAGAGTCCTCGTAGTCCTCGACTGGGGTGAGATCTGGGCAACTTTATCGCCAAGTATGCTTCTCGTATCGACTGGTACAGGCCTCGGCCACCACTCGGACAAATCCGTCACTTCGTTCTTCTCTCCAATCCACGTGGGCTGCTTCCTGGCAGGGGACAGGAGGAGAGGCAGGGGCCTGGAGACTCGTGGTGTGCAGCTCCGGCCGGGTGACGAGAGGAGCTCGCTGAGGGGTCAGTCAGCCGGCCTGGTCCGTTCCCAGGTGAAATTCCCAGCTCGTCCCTCAAGACATGCTCAAAACGCCCAGCATGCTGGCGCTATCGATTTAATCGTCAGCTCCTTTCTTTAAGACTCCCGATTCCCCTCCCCCGCGCAAAACAAAAACTTAACAGGAGTTAGAACTAAACGATTTCTAATTTGTTTATTATTGGAAAGAAGCGTACCTCCATCGTGTTTGTCCTTCCCTATTTATTTGTAGTGCATCGCAGTCACGCCACTCACAGCACTAGAAACCTTGTGGAAAAAAAACGTTTCTAGCAATTTCAGACAGAGACGAATACCTTCACGTTGTTTATTTGTATCCTAGGTAAATGTGTCTGAATGTCTGCAAGTACAATCTCCCTCTTTGCACTTGAAACTCATTAGTTTAAAGCACTGGGTTCAGAAAAGGCTTCCATATGTCTCATTTCCTGACCTTCAGGAGCTGGGTTTTCTCTGTACTTGCTAATGGGAAAACTACATCCAGAATCAAAGGGGCGAGGTTTAATTAGCAAACAGCGGCGCCGAGAGGAAGGGTCTGTGTGAAGTGTCTACGATAGTAAAGGCGCAGGGTTAGGTCCTGGATCTGAGAACCTTTTGTCGATCTGGAACTGAGCCGAGCTTTGTAATTCTTTAATTGCCAGTAACCTTGTCATTTGTGAGGCTGGTAATGTGTACGCCAGGGATAATTAAGCAGTGTTTTCAGACAATGAGGTTCACAGTCACTTTCCCATGTCCTTTGTTCACCTTTTCTTGGGGGGGCCGGAGAGGGAGCCTATAGACAACTCGGCTAAGGGCCTTTCACACCCCAGGGTGCAACTTTTGAATTTTGCGAGCGCAGGGTTGTTGACAATCTGCTCGGCTCGGTTGCCAAGTGTCTGGTTTCACAGACAGATTTCTCCCGGAGCTTCGAACGAGGCGATGTAGCAGCGGCGCGCTTGGCCTGAGCCCCCACAGAGATTCGGTGGGTTGTACCAGCCCCGGGTGGGGAGGGAGACCAGTGTGAGAGTGCTGCCTTGATAAGGAAGGGTGGAAAGTGCAGACATGGCACAGTGAAGACCCCAGTTTGGTCCTTCCTGCTGCAGTTGAATCAGTGCCGAGATTGTAGATCGGAGCGCCCCCTAGTGGGCGTTTCCTTGTCCAAAGCTCTGCGAATTCTTTACTGGCTGATTGCAGTGATGAGATATTTCCTTCAGTGGTTTATTTAGTATTCAAGCTGTACTTGCAATCAGACTTCACAGCTATTCTAATCCCAAAACGGTTTGCTTCAGTGTTTTTTTAATATGAAATGTACAGCTTTTTTATTTTTTCTCTTGGCAATTTTTTTTTAAATCAGAATGTTTAAACCCATACATTGAGACTATCTGGCTCACTGTATATATTAAAATAGCTACTTCAAGAAAGTATAAAGGGTTGTCTTGGCTGCTAGAATGTTAATTCCCATCTTAAAAAAGAGACTCGTTTGGCAACGGGCGTTTTCAGTCTTTCCCTGACAGTTCATTCTCATCACTGTAGTTACTAAGGCGCAGGGCAGATGGGGCGTCAGGGGTTGGATTTAGCGGCAGTACCCAGCGCAAGGTCACTTTGGGGGACACGTGTGGATGGTTTGGGAGACTCCCCGGCAGTGGTGAAGCCCCGATTCCTGGAGACCCCAGTTCCTGATCACTGAATCACTGTGTGACCGTGGGGGCGACTCCATGTGCCTTACTGTGCCCCCAGCTTTCCATGTGGGCGCTTGCTGTGCTCGGCCCAGCAGTGCAGTTGAACTGTGGAGTCCCTCTGATGAGGACGGGGAGGGGGGCGTGGCACGGTGTGTGTGTGTGTGTGTGAGTGAGTGTGAAAGAGCTGCACTGCCAGCCCATCAGCCCTCGGTGCTCTCCCCTAGATGAGCACAATGCAAAAACTGTGATGGGGAGGAGAGCCAAGGGATCTGAGGTGTATGTTGCTGAACTGCTACAAAAGCCAAACACTTTTTTTCTTTTCTGAGCCCCCATCCATGCTTACAGCTCCTTGTCAAGCAGAGAAGGACAGAAGCCCCAGCTGGAGGCTTTAAGGCGAGAGAGAAGCAGAGGTGGCCGGCCCTAGTGATCGGTGCCGGTCCTCGCTAATACTGCGGCCGCCCAGCCCTCTTCCCCTCCTTCCAGCGGTCCCTCCTCGGTGGGGGGCCGGGGGGGGGAGGGGGTCCTGTGTGGGGACTGCACCCGGACCCAGGCCAGCCTGAGAACAGCTGGGCTCTGCCGCTGCCCACTCCTGGCAGAACCACACAGGTGTGCCCACCGACACGCGGGGGCACTGCCCTGGCGGACTGCCCGCAGTCACACCTCATCGCCGGCCTCAGCCTTGCTGTTCTCTTGTTTTCCGTGCTGCTTTTTATTCGTGTTCTGTGTTTTTTTTTTTTCCTGAAATTAAAAAGGCATCCATATTTGAGCTCTGATGTTGGCAGTTTTTCTTTTATTGCAATTTATACCAAAACAATATATAAACCACAAAGACCACGCAGTCAGTGTTTGTTTAAAATGACAAGCTGGGTTTCAGTTGCTGCACGGTCCCTTTGCTCAGAATGGACGGCAACGGGACTCTTTTTAAATTTCGGACTCCAGTTAGATTGTTTTTTCTGTCCTCCAAATTTGGAGTCGCTGAAGGTTAATCCTCTCGGCTTTGGACCTCCAGGAGAGCTCTGCCAGCGAGGGGGGTGGAGAAGGACTGCCTGCGCTCCTGTGACAGGCTGACTGCAGCTGGGGAGCTGGGGGGGGGGGCCAGGCTAGCAGCAGGCCCCTAGAGCTGCTTGCACACACCTGCAGGGACAGGGCAGAGGACACAGGTCGACTCTCTCGGCCCAGCCCTGCTGGTCACGATGAGGCCGGGCACTGGTCACAGTCGGCTGATGGCACGGCTCTGACTCCGAGCTTGACCAGCGCCCCAGAAATCTGGGAGTCCTGGAGAATCAGCTGTTAATACTAAGAGTCCGTGTCGTTCTGGGAATAAGGAGCACAGTATGCAGAATCCCACAGTAGCTGAGACCCATAGCTGCCAGGGAACCTGAAGTAGCCCATGAATTTGCCACTACGTTGTCCAGCTTTGCCCTGCTTGGACGCTGTTTGGGCCCACAGTTTCCTCAGTCAAATGTTACTCATTATCCTTCTACTAAGGAGTGATCACAGGTAGAATTGAGATTCATATAGCCTAAGAACCTAAACAAGCAACACTTACACCAGGTCCTAGGTACTGACAGAAAGAAAAAGCCTTTCAGTCTTTTCCTTGCATTTTATACTGGTTGTTTCTATGAGGAACCCATGGTACACGAAAGCATAGGTTAACAGTTTCGGTCAGCCCTAACGGGTGTGCATGCCGTTTGCATTTGCTACAATAGTTTAGGGCTATAGCATCATAAGCCAGCCAGTTTCTTTGTTGCTATAAAAGTAACTTAAATCTGAAAACCCTTTATTGTCGGTTCAGTACAAGCTTGTTTGCCAGTGCACAACTGGACCTTAAAATTGGATGATTACTAAAATGACTGACCAGATTTTCTTTTGTTTCTAAGCTATTTAGTCTTTTTGGAAGCAGCTCTCAATGTCAGTCTCTGACCGCTAAACACAAGCACACTGTATTGACAATCCTGTGTGATTATAATGCACAAATCACTGTTTTACTGCGCTTTGCTTTTGATAAGTGCCATGGGTTTCCTTTGTTAAACCATTCCCATTGCCAGGATGTTGTTTTCTTCTCCACTTACGGAGTCCTCATCTGTGTGCACGTTTCAGGACTGCACTAACACAACTGTGCCGTGACCACGTAGGTTGAAACTATTTCAAATGAAAATTATTTTCTGTTTCCAAACCATCTTTTTATGTATATATACTGTACCTCAGATGACCTAATATCAGAGTTATTTTAAAACTTAAGCTTAAACGTTTTAGATGCAACTTTTCTTGACCATAGACGTGCTCTGTGACCTTGTCAGAGTTGATTGGGACAGACTGGTTCTGTTTTCTAGTTTGACTAGCTGTCGGGTTTCTGGCATTGTGGAGGACACTGTGGATCTCATCATTGGGAATGAAATAGGTTTTGTAACAGTGACGTGACTGAAATCAGCTCTAAGAAAACTAAGCTCTGCCAAATAAGCTGACAATTCTGATACAGCCATTAATGATTTCCGGTCTGGCTTCCAGGTTTTCTCCCAATTAGTCAAAAACTTACAAAGGCAGAGCATAATGCTTTCAGTCATTGAAGTTGTGAATTATCAAGCCATTGACCTATTTGTCTTTGTAAAGCAAATGAAACAGCAACAGAGTATTTTAAAAGTATATAAGCTTCTTTATTTTTAATAATCATTGTGAACTGAAACCAGAAACATCCTCGTAATGCGGCAAGTATTTTGACATCGGTGTCTGCTGGCTGCACGCCTCTGTCCGTCCCTACTCACTTGTGTTCACACACACACACAACTACACACAGTCCCCTGCACACACACGTGTTCACACACACACAAC